CAAGCCAGACTGGAAAGGCTGGAGGTGTTGCCGCCATTTATGAGCGACGGTGGCAACCAAACAACTGGCAAGCCGGCTGTCTGGTTGCCGTCGCCATTTACAGATCGCGGTGACGCATGACTAGCCCTTCAGCACCACTGTATAAAGAAGTGCGTCTGTGTGTGGGGCCGGGGGGGGGGGGGGGGGAGGGGAGTTTTAGAAACACTACTGTGTTGTAAGGGTTCCTCTTCCTTGCACCTTTGGCGCAGACCAAAAAGCGTGACCCTGGAAACTACTTTGATTGGAAAAGCGCTCTTGCCAAAAAGCACGTTTTTGTCGTGCCAGACGCTGGCGCCGTTCCTCACGACGATGCACTACAGAATAATATTACTAGCCTTTCAAATACTTTGCTTTCACTGAGCTTGCACCTCCTGTAGCGTGCCTTTCGCACCGTCGAATTCGACTTTCTCAGCAAGAAGGAATCAGAATGACCACCAGCCTATAGTGTGATAACGTCACGTGCATACCATGCTAAATAGTTCAGCTTTCTGGTGAAATATGATGTTCGCAACACTAGCCATAAATGTCCTAATTGTAAATTCGTGAAGTATTTATAGCAGTCTCGCGATGAGATATGGCAGCTTAGAGAAATGTTAGAACGCATGACTATTCCAGCATAGCGCTGTAAAGTGAGGGCCCAAAACAAGTGCAGGTAAAACCGAATATAACATTTGCCTCCCGAGGCAGTATTTCGGAAGTTTCGAGCTCATGCAAGCTGATCATATGTAATATACTAAGATTTCAAGAATCTTTGTCTGTCCTTCGCGCTATTTATGTAAAATCATGAATATCATTGCGTGCATCTTTACGCATCTCTTTTTGCAGTAAGGCGTTCTGGAAGGGATTATTTGGAAAACATAACATTAATTATTTCTCTCTTTTTGAACATTTCGTGTATTTGACTTCCAATTCATCATGTGAGCATAGAGTTCTTTTTAGCGTACCCTGCAACCCGAAGTTTCACACTGCCAATCAGCAAACAGAAAAACACTTTTACGTAGACTCCACAGCTCGCGTAGTTTCGAGTATCGTCCTTCCGTGTCGGTCTCAAGCGGTGATGTGAACTTTATAAAGTAAAATTTTTTTATCAATATAAAATATATTTAATTACAATGCCCCCAAATTAGCTGAAAGCGGTTCTGCCAATCTCTTCCGGCGTTTTTATCCTCGACAGGCACGTTGTAAGTGATATGGGACGGCCTTACATACATTTCTGATTTTGAAGCTAATTTAAATAACTATGTGTTCCTGACACATCTAACTTCTCAAACATGTAGAAGTCTGTTATTGCCTTTTTTATCTGGTGAACATTAGTTTTATGTGTCTGTGGGGCTGGACGAAAAGAAAGTAAACAGGGGCGCGCGGTGGAACTATGATGATTACGCACGCAAACCGTCAGAAAAAGTCCAATTAAGTAGCTGCCTTGTCGAGTAGAACGTGAAATACTACTTCGTTTACATAAACAAAAAAGAATTTTGAAGGACGCTTAAGCTTCGCCTTTAAACGTGGAACGCGATCGCGTCAACGGGCCTCGTTTGCATCGCATTCTCATTTGCCGCGCAAGCGTGCCTCGCGTGGTCTAGCGAAAAGCGTCTGACTCGCAACTAAAGGGTTGTGGGTTCGAATCCTGCCTAAAATATTTAATTTTTTCTTTAAGGCAAAGGAATTACTTTCAAAAGTGAAATAATTTGAAACATACGGTGACCTTTATTTCGCGTATATATCATGTTTTAATCACCCTCATTCCACGCGTCATATCACGTTTCACGTAAGCATTGTGGGTTGTTTGAAATTCTTGCGCTAGGGTATGTAGCTCTGATGTCATGACCCATCAGGATTTTCCAGTCACGCCACCGACATCGGTTTTTCTGCGACATGAGCTCGTTAAAGCTATCGTGTTAAAATCATCAATTAGCAAGGGTGATGCTCATTTGCAAATTAAATTGTCCGGCATCTTGTCAACAACAAACCTCAACAGCCAGGCTATGCCAGCTTATTCTGTTTAAGAAAATGTTCACTTAGGCAAGCGCTATTTTGGGCCAGATTCGATCTGAGTGCGAAGGTGCGTATATATTAGAGTGAACATTTGCAATTACTCCTTGCTCCATGATTAGTCGCATGCGTGCGGTGCTGAGAGTAAACAATGTTTGGTTAGAACAACAGGCATTTGGATTGCCGCTCGGTGTTTCTATAAAAGATAGACTGAAAGGAGTTATCCTAAAACTTTGTTACATTTCGAAAAGTTCCTTGCTTTTAGCTCAGTTGGGTCGTCATCATATATATATATATATATATTGTAAAGTGTATTTCGTAAACCTTATTTCATGATATATGGCCGCGAGGTGCATGCTCATTTCATATTTTTATGTGATGTAATGAATTGCTTAGTTCAATGACACGATTTCACTTTTAATACTGACACGCAAAGTTGTACCAATCACGGGTATTTCAGACGACCTACCACACTTCGCGACAACATTTTATACCATGTAAATAGATCAGCTTGAACTTTAGAATTTTACTTTAACACGAAGAAAGGACAAGAAAATACAGTATAGTTCTAAATTAGAAGCTGATCTATTTACAGGTATGTACCAACAGGCTCAACTCTTTACTCTTGTACTTAAACATTTTGATTCAGGCAAAATATATTTTACTCGTAAACAAATAGATATTCAGTCGTATGAACACGACGTTATGTATGTTAATGTAGATTTTCTTCTACTCTTGCGTCAAAATTAAATAACTGAATTTAATATTTTTGGTACCTAAGAACAAAAGTAAATTGCACGGACGATCGAAGAAACTATATAGTTAATCGTTTCACAACGAAAATAGTGTATATTGCCAAAAGAACGCGGAAAATATGTTCTCAATTTAGCGGTTCAAACCGGTTTGAACCGTTATTTTTGGCTCCCCAGAGCTGAACCGGAACCGAACCGAAAGCCGTGAACCCGAACCAGAACCGAACCGATAAAAATTTCGGTTCGACACCCTGCTTCAAATACGGAACCGCTTCAGCTTCCCTTTAAACACCATTTGGAATTTTTACTTTTTTGTAAGGCTGCCAGAAGGAACTCTTTGGTGCGCACTGTGAAGAACAAGTCTACAGATGTTAGAGAGCGGAACCTTCCGACTGCGGGTTTATGACGAGTGCAATGTGTGTGTCATGTTCGAGGCAGTTAGTTGTGGTGGCAATAATACACCTATGGAAAATTTAAGAGCACAACGAGGGCAATATTAATTATGAACAGCCCTCTAAACAGTTTGTAAAAATAGCAATATTTATTTGTTTCTTTTCTTTATTTCCTTCGCGAGACTGCCAGTAATTTTACCAGGCACTGAGCGGCAAAGTTGACAACCCAATCAAGGGCTAGAGATTAACGATGATAAACGAATCTGTTCTTGCTCCCATAGCGTTCGGAAGACGCCATAAAACTCCTCCCGGCTTCCTACGAAATAGCGAGCGAGCCGCGGGCCGTGGGCCCTTTCCCTTGCAAGCTTTCCTTATCGCCTCTAGTAACCTTCGCGATAAAAGCTATCGGCATCGCATCAGGGAAGAAGGGCCAGGAAGTCGCTTGGCAGCAGCATTTAAAAGGAGAGAAAGAAAATACAAAAACGTTCCAAAGGCTGGTCGGCCAAGAGCCTGCGAATTCTGCAATCCTCACTTCTCGAGACTTCATGCCGGTGGTCGGCGCATATATCAAAGCAAGGCAAGACACAAATTATCGACTTCACCAAGTCCCGAGACAAAATTAAGACGAAGTGGGAATCCGTTGGCTCAGTGCTTGGCCTCCATTCGTGCCACGTTTGGTACATGCAAGCAACCATCGGATTTCAGAGGTCTCCACCAGAAAAAGAGTGCGAAAAGGCCGCGGAAATTCTTCATCACTGAACTTGAATCCTCTGTTCATTATTGTCGAGTGTCGCATGTATATAGCTGTACTGTACTACCTTTATAAATTAATCGCTCACTGTAAATAAATATATCGTAAACCACTCAAAGGGAACTTAAAGGGGTACTCCACCGATTTTTCGAGCTACCTTAACTAACTATACTTTCTGACTCCCCGGCCTTTACTCTCTCCGGTATGCTATGCAGAATCGCGAAATTCATAATAGTTATTGTGAAATCGGCAAATGAAAATGATGCAAAAACCAACATTCAAATATTCGCGCACTTTTCAGTTCCGTGACGTCAGCGGCAGGCAGGCTTGCCAGTCGAGCAAGCAGCCAAAAAATAGAATATGCCAATCATTTGCTCCGTGCTGGAGCGCGGGTACTTCAGCGAGCTTCCCAAGCATTCATTTGACACCATGAAACTGCTTCGAATCAGTTTAAAACATAATCTACAGCCCAAAGAGTGAACCCCTGCCTTCCACTGACGTCACTTTTTCATTGTTGCCAGTAGAGACTTCGAGCTTGAAAAACACGGTGAGGACAAAACTGTAAATTCAATAACTTTGCAAAAAAACAATATTTTGACCTAATATTTGGGATACTATTTTCACGATGTTTGTTGGTTAGTTTAGCAAAATTTCAAGCAAATCGGAGACAATGAAAAAACCAGTGGAGTACCCCTTTAAGCTACACTTGTTTCAATATAGTACAGGTACAGTTAACTGTATGTCATTGGAACTTTCCAGAACCTCGTCTCTAATCAGAGAAACTTCCGGGGTCACGGTAGCAGTAACGCACAGCTGCTTCCGCATGTTGTGATACATATTAAAAATGTCTTGTTTCCTCAGGTTTTCCTTTCTTCTTGTCTGTCAGAGATCTTAGACGAGGTGAGATTAATGCCTCAGAGATTCAAGACAAAATAGTGTTTGCTTAGAAGAGATATCTCAGCACAGAAAAGAGGAATGAAATATTGATTCTTGTGTTCGCTTTATAAAGCTCGATTAAAACATCTAAAAAAAAAAAAAGAAAACAGAGCATTCAAGAAGCAACAACAAACGAGGCTACCACAGTTTGCACTTGGTTCCCGGATTCATGTAGCTTCCTTTAGCACAAGAGAAGACTTCCGCGAAGCGGTCGAAGTTCCTAAGCGGCACGTTGACTCTCAGGACCGATGGCAGGGCAACCCTGTGCTGGACTTGCCGGCGCGCAAGAGCGCCAAGGCCACCGCTGCTCCGAACGGCATCGCAGTGGCTCGCGGCAAAGTTGACGAAGAAGAGCATGTCTGGTGTAATTGCTGGCAGACCGGGTACCCTGAAGTTGCGTTGCATAGAGTGCGGCTCTGCCAGGGCACGACTGTAAACCTCCAGGGACGGCTGCAGTGCCGCGGTCTCGGCCATCATTCGGCGAATGAAGGGTATCATTGGGGCTCCCTACAAACAAGCATCAACCCACACGGTCACTTAAACTTTACGCGTGTCATTGTGCCTGCCGCTCAGTGCCGCTCTCGACTCGGCCCATCAAAATAATGCTGAACTGAAAGAAGCTGCTCCGCACTTTACCTGTGCTTCCACACCCATATCCTGCGTTTCGCTTTCGACTTCACTAGCAGTGGCAATTCATAGCCGGAACGTGTCTCAACGGACATCCTTTAGTGCATTCATGCAGTGCCACCAGTGTGTGCTTACGTAGACAATTAAATTAATTTTGGGCAATTGAATGGCCTCAAATGTCTGTGTGAATAGAATATACAGGGTGACTTTTAACCTTTACAGACTTAAAAAAAGAGAAAAACATGAAAACTAAATTTTCGCAGTTTGTGCAGGGCCATGGGGACATGACGTAAGGGGCTATACGAGTCCCGGTAAGTCAATTAATTAGCTAAAATTGCTTAATTGCCATTCTAATTAGTGAAGATAAACATATGATTTCAATTCGAAACTTGCTGAGTGTCATCGAAAGCCATTAAGTCAGAAAAAGACTTGCAGCGCCAAAAAATCGCGGTGGCAGTGGTGCGAGAACGCACCGCTCAGTATTTAGTGATTTAGTGGATTTCTATGAGGCTCAGTACGTTTCTAATTGAAGTGCATATTCACTAATTAAAAAAAGCTACTTTACAAGTTTAAGTGAATTATCCGACTTACAATGACGGTTAGCCCCCATATAATGTCCCCAAACGTAAAACTCGCCTGCACAGACCGCATCAGTGGCAGTGTAGCTTACACGGCCTTTTTTAAACAAACATGTAATATCTAAGAAAGTAAGAAAAAACACCCAATATACGTATAAACAGTGAAGGTTAGTCGAAGATATCGCCAGATGTCAGGGAAGGTTACCTTCACTTCCTCCGTCTTTGTCATCTCTGTCCTATTCTCGTTAATTCGAACTCGAGGGGAACATTTGTTTTAATAAAGCAAAGTTTGGAATTCTCGGAAGTTTCCTTCCATAGAGACGCATAGGATGGGACCTGCATGTTAGTTTGAATTATCCGCAAGTTTGATTTAAGAGAGTTTGAATTAACGAGATTCGACTTGTATATATATATATATATATATATATATATATATATATATATATATATATATATATATATATATATATATATATATATATATTTTTTTTTTTTTTTTTTTTTTTTTTTTTTACTCGTCCCCTTTTGAATTTTTACCGGGAAGGCTCCAAACCGCAGCATGTGTTGCAGGTAACTTTCGGCGAAGCAGCGCTGCTGCTTCCGGTATCGCAGCAGAGACTCGCTGCTCCACCAGCTCTCCGGCATGCCCCGCACGTTCATGGTCGAGCCCCTGTCGTCGATGGCTTCGTACATGCCCTGCACCAGGTAGGGCACGATGAAGGGCGTCAGGATGGCGGGTATCGTGGACTGGGACGCGCGATGCTGGGAGGCCACGACGCCGTACGGCATGTACAACGAGTTCCTGGCGGCGTTGTACTCGAAGCCGGGCCTCAGGCAGGACACGTGGTAGCGGGCGTCGTAGTCCGCGTTGTCTTTAGACCTCCAGTAGCGAGCTGTGGCCTCGTTGAGGAGGGTGACGTAGTCGCTGAGGGTCGAGTTGGCCGTGAACTTTGCCTCCGTCTTGGTGTCGTAGTATCTGGACAAGTTGAGATGTGGTTACGAGAAACTTTCTTCTATTACCCAAGTGTCGCCGTCATAAATGTTGCGCGCGCTGATAGGCCGTCTGCAATCTTAAACAACTGACCTTATCAATATATACAGTTAGGACGAGCAAGCTTTTCTAATATCAGCTGCAAACAGAGATATAGTGTCTGGAGACAGCGTGACAGGTCTCGATTTGACCACGTGCGAAATCCTCAACGTGGTAATATATAACTATATACACCTTTCAGCCGGCCTCAACCATCATTAGCAGTAATTCACAACGTGCAGAAAACTCAAGTGACGGCGAAGCCTCGTGTGCAAGTCCTTGACCGGGTGACATCTAGGAGCATCTAGGAGCGCGAACTAGACGATGGCCTTTCAGATGCTGCAGAGCAAATCAAATTAAGCATAAAATGGCCAGATCATTGCCGTTATTGTGGTTTCTGATTTGCCTCAAAATTGGCTCATCACACAAATAGACATCGCTGAACTAGTAGTTCAAATATTACGTCAAAACAATTTCTTTTCGCTAAGTTATTAAATTTTTAATCTTCAAACTGGAAGTTTTTATTGGTAACACGGAAACATTGACGTCAGTGGCATGCAGGCACGGTTTCACTCTGGTCAGTAGAACTTGGTCCCAGCTGATTACAATAAGTGGTACAAGATGAATGCCGTGGGAAGCTCACTCCACCACTTGCTCAGCAGCGCGAAACAAATGCTTCAGCACACTGTTTTCTGAACTGCCTGCTCGACCTGCAAATATGCTTGCCAGTGACGTTTGACGTCATGGCACTGGAAAGTGCTGGAAAAATGGAATGTTGGGATCGCGCCTTCATTAGTAGTTTTCTTAAATATATATTTTGTATTGTAGATACTTACAATATTATGCCGGGAAAAGTAAAGTACGGGAGAAAACAGCTACCTACTTGGTCACAGTGTCCATGTGCTCCTTGGCGCCGATGAAATCCACTTCAAGGTTTTGGATCTTCTGAGTCGCAATGTCGGCCTCGGTCTGCGTCAGCCAGGGTGCGTGTGCCACGGTCTGCATCATGGCACTTTTGACGTTACGCACGAGGCTGTCGAGGTTATGGTCGTAAAGCACTTGCTCCGAAACCGTGTTCCCCATTGAGAGGCGGGCAACTTTAAGTGTGCCGTACGGGTACAGCCTCTCAAGTTGATGGACGCAGGCCTGGAGTCTGGAACTATACCCCGGGATGTGGTCGTCGTAGCTCAGCGGAACGAGGAAGCCAGCTTCTTTGGACAAAAATGGGGACAAGGATACCAGGATACGAAAGCCAACGTAGTTCAGCATAGTCGAGAGCGCCGTGGAGGTCAGGATGCCAGAAAGTTTTTCTATGTAGGCCGCGTTCATAACGACCACTTTGTCCGAACCGCGTCGTAGGTGAACGAGGTACGTCTCCCATTCTAGGTTGTCGGTACGCTTGAGATTGACGATGGGTATAGTCAAGTTGAGCACGGAGACAAATTTCCGCGCTGGGAGCGACGCTTCGTCCAGTCTGCGCTCGAGTTCGAACACATCGTCCGCCGAGTGATCCAAGTTTGCCTTGTTGCCCAGGAGGGAAAGAGCGCGCTTGATGTACTTCTTGCTGTACTCTTGCAATCCTTCTTCGAGGTACGCCATCTGGTGACGCACGAGAGTCAGCTTGGGAGAGTCCAGGTGCAGCATATAACCCTCGTTTTCGAACCGCTTGCGCAGACTCACACTGACAATCGGAAAGATGGCCAGATCCTTATCGACCTTCATGAGTACCGCCTGAAACTTAACCCCTTCTGGGTCTGTCAAAAAAGGCCATCCGGTGAGGGAGAAGGTGTCCATAATCTCGGTAACTTGTCCCCAGCTCGGCAAGCCTTTGCTGGCGTTCGCTTGGTGAATACAACCGCGAAGGAACGCGGCCGACTGCCTGATGAACGCAGGATGACTGTTCGCCGGTCTGTCCGCCTGGTGGAGCAGATACTTTGCGACGTCGAGGATCAGAAGCCCCGGACCGCTGACAGTGTAGGGCCTTTCCTGCACGTCAAGGCTCTCTGCGTACCAACGGTTTGAACAGACGTATGCATGGAAGTCCTCGCAGGGAGCGATGGACTGGTTTATCTTTTTGTAGATGAGACTACTCTGCCACAAACAAGCATCCAAGCGGCATTCGTACGTGAACGTGGTCCTCCGGGTGCGGACACCAGTCGTCGTATCTTCAGGACGATTGGTTGGTGACTTCCTTGGGCCTGACTCGGCTGGTGACGCAGCTTCCGTATCGGGCTCAATGAAGACCCTGTGGTCAAATTTGCGCGCGTAATGATGGTGTCCGGAGTGACCCTGAGGCAAAGCGAATTTCATCAAGACACCAAGGAAGGCACTCGCCACAACCGCCACCGCGACAATCATGTAGATGTGCTGCTGACGCGCGGTGCTGGAACTCTGTGAGCCGCTCGAGCCCTCGATGTTCCCGTCGTCGGTGTCTTCCAGCGTGTAGGCGTATTCGGTCTCATCTTGGACTTCGTTCTTGCGCTTTGGCCAGCTTGACTTTCGGCGTGGGAGTGCGTCGCTGGAGGTGTCTTCAAAACTCGGGTGGTTCACGCCGGTCTTGAAGCCTCCCCCGTGCTTGGGAGGTGGTAAGGACTCCGTGTTGTCGGGTAGTCAAGAGCCGCTTGGTGCGGCCTCCTTTGCTTGGTTCCGTTACCTTCTTCTTTTTCGCCGCTCACTTGCGTGGAATAACTCCACAAAATACCCCACTGAAAATCACCTGGCCGCAACAGTTACACTAACCCACCGTGTTCTAGCCTCAACTAGAGCCGTAACATACTTGATCGTTTCGAGTCATCAAGTGTTGAGATATAACAAACAGTTTGGAGCACGTGCACGAAAAACCAACCGAAATCGCGCGAAAGTTGGGATAATAATAATTTAGAAAAAAAGTAGGCGCGCACCATTAAAAAAAAATGGCAGAGACTACACTGCAGGGGTGATTATTTGTGATTGCGATAGCATTTATCGTTGCACACACGGACAGGTGTTCGGTCTCGACGAACAAGAGCTGGAGCATAGGTCACGTGACATCATTTTTTTCCGCTAAATTTAGCGGGGAAACTAAATTAGTGCACAGGTAACGTGACGTCAATTTTCCTGGTAAATTTGGCGGGGAAACTGAATTGGTGCTGCGGGGAATAAAAAAAAAAAAAGAAGAATCAAGATGGCTTCATGGGGCGCGTGAGCACCGGGAGCACGAAGGCAGTTCGAGCCAGGGCACCGTCGAAATCGGTAGTCGTCTCATCATTCTTCACAGTTTTTGAGTGGGGCGAGCTGCAGGCTCCGTTCATGCTTTCAGTTGAAGCTCAGAATGTGGAAAGTTGGCGTGGTGGGAAGTCTCGAAGCTTGCACAGGGTCTGAGAAAAATTTCTTCGGCGAATGACGACGAACGAGTAGAAAACGTCTTCAACACGCTGCTGCCGCCAGCCTCTGCAACACTAGCGAAAACGCGATCTCGCCGCGTGCAAGATGGCCTTCCGGTGGCTTCACGCGCGGGAGCGCGCGACGGGCTTGTTGTTGTTTTGTTTGTTTATTTTGGGGTTAAGAGAAACGGGGGAGCCAGGAGATGTGTGGGCCTCCAGTCAGGGGCAAGTCGCTACCTGGCATTTTGGGAGAAGGGCGAGTAAAGGAAAGAGGAAGAAATTGTTATGTACAAGTTTGAAGATCCGATGCACTGTAGTCCAGAAGCCAACGGGCGTGTTTACAATTGGGCTTGTTAGAAAATGAGTCCACAGCGAGCCGGAAGACAGCATCCGCTGTCATCGCAGTGCCAATCTGAGATGACAAAGTCCGTCACTGTACCACGGGGGTTCCCATTCGCTCGCATACATAAATTTAAACGTTGAATACTTGTCCCAGATACAACATATAAGTTTTTGTTATGTGTCTGCAAACATCAGAGTCGATCAGAGAGCTCATCCGGAGATATTGGAGGAGAGCACGAAAGGCCTTTTCGACAATTCCACCTGAAGCTGACACAGCACATTAAACAGCACGCAGGTGAGAAGCCTTACAAATGCGAGCAATGTCCCCAATCTTTTAGCCGAAATGAGAATCTGATGCAGCACATTCGAACACAGGCAGGCAAGAGCTCTTACAAATGCTAACAAGGCCCTAGAGCACATGGAAACCTGACACAGCACATTCGAACCCATAAGACGCCATAGAAATGGTTATGTCCCATACAATTTCTAGGTCTCGTACAGTTCAACTGGAATGATGTGATTTGTAAAAAAAAATGAAAGCCGTTTACAAATCCCTGTAACGCCGAATTGGAGCGCAGCTCTTGAGGAGGAGTAGGGAAGGGTACTGAGGGGGGTCACGTCACCTGCGGGTAGTCACGTGACCTCGGGGGGGGGGGGGGGTCACGTGACCCCCCCCCCCCCCCCCCCCCGGTTACGCCGACGCCGCTCAGGCTGGAAACGGGCCTCTAACCGCCGTATTCAGAAACCTCACTCAAACTACACTCAAACTGAAGGGCCCCTTCACTTCCTCAAGGAAGGCGGGAGGGCCGGCGCTGGCCAATCGCGACGGCGGATCCGTCCTCGCGATTGGCCAGCGCCGGCCCTCGCGCCTTTCTCGAGGAAGTGAAGGGGCCCTTCAGTTTGAGTGTAGTTTGAGTGAGGTTTCTGAATTCGGCGGTAAGAGCTGCGCTCTAACATAAAGACGTTTGCAATTCTCTGTAATACCGAATTAGAGTGCAGCTCTTGAGGAGGAGGGGGGATGCGTACAGAGAGGGGGGTATCCCTTCCTCCTCCTCTGTACCCTCCCCTCCTCTTCCCCTCCTCCTCTTCTGCCTCCTCCCTCCCTCCATCGTGAAGGTCACTGAAGGTCGTGACCTTCACGAGTGGCCTTTGTGACGTCATTATGGGAAACGTCCCATAATGCAGCGCGCTTTTACGCCGACGGTGACGCCGCTCAAGCCGGAAACGGGCGCCTAAAAGCTGCGCTCTAGAAGTTGCCCATTTGCCATACTAGCATGCCAAAGGCAGCGGTAACACAGAATGTGACGTGCTAGTGTCGAGAAATGTGTTGATGTGGAGACTGGATGGTGCAGAGCGGGCCTGTGTTGTGCAAGGTAGGCGCTTGAGCACTCCGTGGATTTCGTACTTGTAGATTCCATCTTCTGCAGTTACAGCGTAAATGCGACTTTCTCTGAGCCCATTGGAGTTTGAGATGCGCAGCGCAGTGCCAAGCAGAGCCCTGGCACCAGCTCGCGACGAAGGAGAGTTAAACAGACTGCTTTTTTTCCATCCGCTTTTCTGTCACACTCTCGCGCTGTTTTCCTGGGGAAACTTGGAGCAGGCTCGTCAGAGTGCCGCGGTATGTCTGAACGCGTGATGTTCTACCCTTGCCAGGAAGAGGTTCGGCTGGCACCGGTGTCCGATCAGTGAGGAGGCGAGCGCTGTGTCGGCGTTCGGCTGGCAGTCGGCCGGTCGACTTTCATCGGTGGTACTTAACCGGTTAGGTGCCAGACATATAACACATTCTGCATTAAAACAGCAGATAGGGAACAGGTTTCGGAGATGTCAGCAGTCACTGGTTGGCTACATACACACGTGCAGAGAAAAGCTCACCTGTGTCGACAGCTTCCACAAGCCTTTCTTTACAGTGCTGCTTCCTAGACACTTAAAAGCGAGTGAGGAGCAGAGGCGGATTTATTGCGACAGTCTCGAATTAATGCAAATAGCAAATACCGATCGCTGACTTTCAGGGTAAGCTTGACCTCGGTGGCATCTATCGAGAAAGGAACAAGGCTCTCCCGAATTCATCTGCTGGTGTCTGAAGCACCTTTCCTTGGAGACAAAGGACTAAACGTTTTATTAACACCTAAAAATGTGTCCTCGCAGAAATATTTTCGCAAAAGCTTTTCATCTGACTGTTGGTTTTAATTATATCCTCGCTTCTCTCTTTTGATAAAGGAAGTGTTGTGGATAATAAATGTGTCCAAACATCAGCTTCTATTCTTGCCCTGCCTCCTGTGCTGCTTTTGGCCCTGTGCCAACATTGACCCGTACTGATATGCCCACCAGTATTGCAGCCGAATCCATGTTGCTGGTTTTCTTTTAGCAGGATAATTGGTAAAACAAAATGATGAGAGTTCAGGATATGGAAAATTAATTCAATCTGTGTGTGAATGGTGGATTTTGAGTTTGAAGCGAATGGCGGTTTTGGCTGAATATTTTCGAATTGAATACTGATTATAGTTTTTCCGAGCCTTTACTTTTGCACCGTGCTTAAACAAAAATCCAGACGAACTTGTGGAGGTCGTTATCAACTTGTCCATTTATAAGCTAAGTTAATTATCTAACTACCGCGTGTCCCAAATAGGGACCAGGCTCTTTAAATCGACCGCAAAAATCGGTTTCTTAACCTATCACGTTTCGATTTTACAGCGTTGGTCACAGGTGGTGCATTTTTTCTATAAAATTCGCAAAGAGCGAACTTAGTCGAGGAAAAAAAAAATAAAAAGGCTTAACTTCTATGGAAACGCAGCGAAGCCACAGGTCTTCAAACCACAGGGCGCTCTCTTTGCGATTTTTATAGTAAACAAACGCACCACCTGTGGCCAACGCTATACGAAATCGGAACGCGATAGGTTAAGAAACCAATTTTTGCGGTCGATTTAAAAAGCCCGGCCGCTCTTTGGGACACGAATATATCGACTGTGGCAATGTCTACATTGGGATCCAATGCCTACATTGGGATGGCAAGTAAACAATTCATTTGACAGGAAATTGAACGTACGGTATGAATATGCCCAACTATACCTAATTGAGGGGATTCATAAATATTCTTGCTATATGCAAATATCTTCCATCACGGATGATTAACACAGGTCGTCGGGGCATCTCTGCCTAACACATACCCGTACATAATAACCACCTAAACTGTAAAAAAAAAAAAAAATACTGCAATACAGTTGTCTACATTTACAAAGTTTCCATTCATTTTTAAATACACCAGGCACGCGCGTGAACCATGACGCATTGAAAACCGGGCACCGGTGCGCTGCAGAGAAGCAACACTTGCGGAGCTCGTTTCCCTGGGTGTTGCTTCTTGGCAATGCACCGGTGCTCAGTGCGAAGCGCACTCAACACCGCGATCAACATATTGAAAAAATACAACAATCGCAGTTGATCTCAAAGTGTATGTTGAATAGCCTATTATTATAAACTACTATTCGAATATTCGCAAAACCCTAGAGTTCGCATCACCAAATAGTGAGAAAAAGAAGTTGTGAAAGTAGGTTAAAGAAGCTTCACTGAAGGTGAAGATACCCAAGCAGCACAGAGTTGGCCAGTCATTGGCCAATGGCTGGCAATGGCCCTTGGCCAAGTGGCCAGACAGTGGCCAGAGACTGGCCGGTGACTGCCCTTTATCTTGGTTATTGGCCACTGGCCATCAGCCATCGGCCAAGCATATTGGCCAATGAATGGCCACTCTCTGGCCACTGGCCAAAAGACCATCGCCAGACATTGGCCATTGCTTGGCCGAAATCCGTGCTGCTTGGGTAAGCCCCATGTGCAGAGGAGCATTGGGCAATGCTCTTGTCCACTTGTTTGTAAACTGTCATCCTTACAAAATAGTTCCGCATGGGGACTAGATCT